TGGACTTCTGAATTTGAGCAGACGCTCCGCGAACTGAGGACGGCCGTACTCCAGATCACCTCCACATGTCTTGATCTTTCCTTCACCGAGGGACTGTCATCTTGGATCTCTTTAGCTGTTTCCTACTTCAAGGAATGGGTGGGAGTGGGAATGTTTGGTATGGCCGTCTGCTGCGGACTGGTATTTCTCCTATGGATGGTCTGCAGACTCAGAACCCAAAATAAGCGAGACAAGGTGGTTATTGCGCATGCACTTGCGGCCCTGGAACATGGGGCTTCCACTGACGTGTGGTTGACTATGCTCAAGCAATAGATTGCTGACAAGACAGCTCTTGCACGCCCGGAACCTAGGTTCATTGCACTGGGCAGAGTGTCCAACACAGCACCCAAAGAGGGTTGTTGAATAAGGTATCGCACAGGGGGTCATTGTCCCGCTGAGAGACATGTCGTTCTGCATAAGGGTTGCCTGCCCGAGTTTCCCTTTCCCAGAAAAACGGCAGAGGACAGGTTGGGAGTATCCTGGGCTCCAGAGTAGACCTAGGGATGACTCCCATACATGGTCTGATCAAGATTTTAACTGGGAGGTTCGACCACTGTCTCTACCCTCTCATTTTGGGAAATCTATTTGCTTCATATAAAGTAAAAAGAGGGAGATGTGGGGAGCCGCCTGCCGGGTCCCTGCAGACGCCATTACAAGATGGCGCTCACATCCGGTTCATGCTGAGCAGTAAATAAGTCAGTACGCATGCCCGAAGTAATTTTCCACCTTCTAGTCTCTGCCTACCTCGTGGCGTGATATGGGCTGATGAGTTTGCGACCAATCAAGAGTTGCCACGTCCAAGACGGGCTTACTAACCTATATAAGGGCTGGGTTTCCGACATTCGGGGTCTTCGCCCTGTAAGCTTATGCTCTCCCTCTCAAGATGCATTAAAGCTTTTCTGCAGAAGGATCCTGAGTGTGCCGCGTCGTTCTTGCTGGCGAGACGATAGGAGCAAGGGTATTAGTAAGGAAGAAAGCGGGGGGAAGTGGGGGCACCTTGAGTGGGAAAACCACGATAGAGGGGTGAGACGATACAAGAGAGAAACAATGCCTAGCTAGTCACGAAAAC